GGGGCTGTGCCGTGCGGCATTCTGGGAATGCAGAAATGTGCCATCACAGGAATACTCAGGGAGCGCAGGGGCTTCCTGGCTGCAGCTCTGCTTGTCACTGCGGCTCCCACCCATCTCTCTACCACCTTGGGGATTCTCTCCCACCCAAGGGAAGAGAATCATTGAATCAGAGAATCGTTTTGGTTGGAAAACACGTTTCAGATCATCGAGTCCAACCAAAAACCTGGAGTGTTTCTTGTTCCACCTCTGTTCTCAGCGGAGCTGCTGGGGGGGTTGCTGTTGCCATTACTCCTGCAGATAACAGGTTTTGTGCAGGTAACTGATAGGCACAGGCTCTGGTTTGTGATTTTGTTGTCACTCCTGCCACCCCCTCCACACACGGAGCTGTGCACGCTCTTTCCTTTCTCCCCTTCCTTACACAGCTGTGCTGGCAGCCTTCACCTAAAATTAGTGTTTCCATGCCTGTGCCTTAAAGAGAGACAAGGAGAAAAAACAAAGTGATAAAAAGCAAAAACCTTATAATATGTGCAGTTTAGGAGTCTATCAAAATAAATGGTGAACCTATATATTAATTAAATTAGTCATTAAGGACTAATTATGTTGCACTTCGTCTTTTCAAAAAATTCAGGAGAAATTAAGTTAGTTAAAACTACAAATAAAGGAGACTTTTCTTTTTTCTTTTAAGTTTAATTCAGTTTTTTAGCAAAATGAAGAAGTGGATGGACATGTCAAATCTACCACAGGAATTCCGAGAGCGAGTGGAGAGGCTGGAGAGAAATTTTGAGGTGTCGACTGTGATTTTCAAAAAGTTTGAACCAATATTTTTGGATATATTTCAAAACCCTTACGAAGAAACCTCTAAACCACAGCGAAGCAGGAAACAGAGGTATTTTGGGGGGTTTAATGTGACTTTTCCCTGGAAAGGGCTATACCTAATGTAGGTTTATTAAAATCTAGATAATGAGTTGTGCTTTAAAAAGTTATGTGTGAGTTCCGTAGTGATAGGGCCTCTTTGTGGCCTTGATTCTAAAATGCAGCTTCTGAAACATCCCTAATCTTGATGGGGCACGGCTCGTATCAGCAGAGCTTTGCACTGCAGTGAAAATGTCTGTGTGTGGTGGGGAGAGCTACAGCGGGATGATTTAACCTGAGATCCAGTGAGACTGACACTGAAAAGTTCAGCAGAAAGAACTGAAGTAGCACAGGGATGTTTTGTGTTGGCAAAGTACCGGCCGAGGTCGTTGTTCTCGTGAGACGATCCCTCTGTACAGAGCGGCGTTACATCCGCAGCGACCTCCGCGTTACCAGATTTTTAATGTGACTGCCAGATGAGTGGTGACAGCCAGATGGAAGAAGGTTATAGCTGATGCACTCATTTTATGACAAACTTAGTAACCAAGGGTGTTGTCTTCCAGACGCACGCAGAACTTCTGCCGTAGTTAACGGAGCTTGTCCATATTCCCCGCCAGCCGCCTCTGTGATGGCTTTATAGTGAGTGTGACCTTACTGACGAGAGAGCTGAGCTGGGCCTGTGTGAGGTATTTTTGCCAGCACACGTGTCCCCAGATATGTGATTGTTAATCCCTGCTCTGGATGTGAGGTGGGATCATTGTTGTGGTAGAACTCTCCAGCATAGCTCCATGTCTACAGGTAGAAGGGATACTGCTGCTGGCACAGCTCTTCACGTACGGCAGGCAGCTTTGGGGGCATCGCTGCATCCACATGGGGAGAAATTCTGTATGCCCTGTTAATGTTCCTTCATTGGAGCACCACTCACCAGTGTAATGGCAGTTTAGCTTCTCTGTGGGCTCTGAATAATGTCTTACCTGGTTTTCCAGCTCCATGGTTATGGATAATCTCTACTCCAAACACCATTCAGCAGATGAGCTGTAATACCAGCTGTAGTTGCATATTTTGAAGGGATGATTGATGCTTTAGTAAAACACTTAGGGAAAACCCTCACTTGGAATTTATATAGCCCTTGACATCTCACCGCCTGCAGCTGCGGGAGATTCTGTTAGGAGATGTGACACCAGCAGAATAGTGTCCGGGGTCACAGGCAAAAGGCAGCTGTTAGCTCAAAACTGGGTCAGAAGGCTGAGGATGCTGCGCAAAACACTTCATGGAGCGAGGCAGGGGACTGCTTTAGTGAAAACTGAAGTAAGGACTTGGAGTTTATGAAACTGTTGTTTTGGGCAAGGAAAAGATGAAATTCCTACTATAAGACAAGCTTTGGCTTTCTGGAACTGAAGGCTGACTTCTCCTCTCTTTATCTTGTTGACAGACGGATGCCATGCGGTGTTAAAGATCTCTTCAACTTCTGCTGGACTCTCTTTGTGTACACTAAGGGTAGGCTTGCTTTTTTTAGCTGCATGGTTTGTATATTTTCTGAGTTATGAACTTCTTTTGTGTTACTTGATGTGATATGCTGTCTCTTAAAGGTAATTTCCGTATGATTGGAGACGATTTAGTAAATTCCTATCATTTGCTTCTGTGCTGCTTGGACCTGATTTTTGCAAATGCCCTTTTGTGTGCAAATAGAAGAGATTTGCTAAATCCATCATTTAAAGGTATGGTGGGGACAGGTTATTTAAAATATCCTTTGTTCTCTTGTTTCTTTTTAAAAGAAGTTGAAGGTTGGTTGTCTTCTTTTCTTCCCCCCACCCCCCGCTTGTTCTCAGGCTTACCAGCGGACTTCCACACAACAGAGATCAAAGCCTCTGAAGATCCTCCTTGCATCATTGCCACACTATGTGAGCTGCATGATGGGCTTTTAGTAGAAGCAAAAGGAATAAAGGAACACTACTTTAAACCATACATTTCAAAACTATTTGATAGGAAGGTACATCTTACTGGTTCTAAGAATGCGTGGTAGTGCTCAGATGAATGATCTCGAGAACATTTAAATCCTGCAGGTTCTGCAGGGAAGTGTACTGATAGGCAAATGAACTGGTTCTGCTTCAGGTTTTCTTTGTGTTTTAGCAGGAGCAGAATTTACTCTCACTTTTAATGATGTCTGCTGTAAGGCCCCCTGTGTTTTGGCTTTTTATGTCAGTGGAGAATCTTTGCTTTCCTTTCTTAGTGGTGTGAAACCAAGTTGCGGACAATTATGTTTTCTTCAGGCAAAAAAGTAATCTCATTGTGAAATAATTTTATGGGATAACTGTCATGATAGCGTGGGTCTTACCACTTGTCTTGGAGTTGAACAAAGTGCCTGGGAAGAAAGAGGTTGAAGTTGCAGGTGTACAGATTGTTCTGTCTGGTTTTGATCCTGGACTTTTTTTTTTCCCAAGCTCTGTGGAAGTTTCTGTGTAGTTGTTCATCAGGTCAGTCCCTAACCTGCCAACGGAGCAGATGCTGAATAGCATTACTGTTTCTGAAGAGTGAGTTTATCCAGAGCTTAGATAGAATTTGGCTTTGTCCTCATCTGTTTTTCTTGCTAATGGCATTGTAGTCCTTTGGTCTAGGGGGAGGGGAAAAAAAAAAGAGTCCAGTTATGCTCCTAAATCTCATTTCCTTTTTTGGATAAAACCATCATGCCCTCACACTGGTAGAACTGGAACAGTTTTGAAAATATTATGTAAAATATTTCTGCTTTTTATTCTTAGATCTTAAAAGGAGAATGTCTGCTGGATCTTTGCAATTTTACAGAAAATAAGTAAGTTACAGCTTATGTTCTTAATCGTGGGGTTTGGTTTCATTTCTAAAATGCAGGCCTTTGAATGCTAAATCTCAGGTTTTCCCATTCTTTTATCTTACTTTAATTAATGGCTTTTAATTACTTGACAATCATAGCTGCTCTTTGGCTGAAATGTTTTCTGGATATGGGATGTGTCAAATGCCAGGGTGTCAGCTGCAGAGTTTCTTCCTTAATGTCAGGTTTTATGGTGCTTGCCCTCATTTTCTGGCAACTGTAAACTTTGAGTAATCTAATGCAAGTCAAAACCTTGACTCCAGAGTTCATGGGTTTGTTTCTGTACACAGCTCAAATATTATACCCGAGTAGGAAAGTCTTTAGATTCATTTAGTAGTCTCCAATTGAGCATCTAAATCTGTGAATGCAACGGAAGCACTCAAAAGAAAAAGAAGCAACAACTGCAAAACCACAAAAAAGCAGCAGAGCGTTTCTGTAGGAGGCAAGTATAGTTGTTTAAGAAAGTTTTTAAATTCACTTCTGAAAGCTAATTTAAATGAAAATATGAACAGCTGGTGCTTTGTTCTGGATCCCTTAAGGGGTTTTTTGCGTTTTCCAAAAATACTTAATTTGTTTTTAACTTGTTAGTTTGCTTTGAGAATTGTGAGCAAAGACTCAAATGGGTAACATTCAAATTTAGATATAAAACACGGTTGCTGTGATCCATTTGAAGCAGTAAACTTCTCTTGCTATTTCTATGTAAAAATTAATAGTATTACTTAAATAATGCTGTCATGTGGAATGATATAGTAGTCCCTGTTCTTTTGTAAGCAGCTTGAGGTCTAAAGGAAATGTGGAAGCTTCTCTGTCCAAACTTTTCACAGACCTTTACTTTTTCTAAAAGGCATGGAGGAGGTGAACCTGTAACACACTCAAGTGTCCTGTGGGATCACAGGATAAGATTGAATTGCTGAGACACTTCGCAGGCAAAAGATATTTCATGTAGCCTTCATGTATCATGAAAAACATGCAGGCGGGATTTATTGATGTGAACTGTTTCTGATTTTTATCCTCAAGTTTCATACTGCTTCCCAGGTATAAGTTTAAAGCATTGCAGCCTTTGTGAGATTAAACATTCCTATTTTACAGTCAGGTTAGCTGGAATAAAGAAAACAAAAGATTTGTTTGGTATCATTTGTCAGTGGTGACTTTAGAAATCGAATCCAGGTGACTAGCTCTTAAATTTCCCTTCCTCTGTACTATTATGAAAATTACAGGCTATAAAGTGGCAAAAGTAGAAATCAAATGTAGCTGGTTTGATGCAACTACTGGTCATGTGCTCCATGTATACAAAGATTTAACCTCTGCTCAGTTGAGTACTTCCAGACTGTTTTATTCGCAACTGGGATGGAAGCAAAGTTGTTTTTTTCCTCCTCTTACTGAGAGACAAATGATGATGGTCACTCAGGAGGAAGAGTGGTCCCTGCAGCAGCTCATCAAGGGAACAGGAGAGGTTTTAAGTATGGAGGAAGGCTGGGACAACCACAGGCAGGTTGCTTGGGGTAGTGAAGTCTTGTTCACAAGCAGCAGTGCTGCTGAGAGCACTAAACACTTGGGATGCACATTGGTTTCAGTTTTATACTTCAGCTCCCTGGCACCTTTTTTGTTTCTTCAGTGGTTTAACCTTTGTTATAAAACCTGGGCTTCTCTTTCAGCAAAGCACTGAATAAGGAGTACGAAGAGTACGTTCTGACAGTGGGTGACTTCGACGAGAGGGTTTTCCTAGGAGCTGATGCTGAAGAAGAAATCGGCACTCCTCGGAAATTTCCTGCAGACGTACCAGTAGGGAAAACAGCAGCCCGAGCTCATGTGGAGTGTCATCTTCAGCAGCATTTCGAAAAGGTGATTCATTTAACCTGGTGATCTCACTTGAAGTACTCCTTCAAGTTTCTCCATCCTTGCATGCTATTTGAATCAGAGGTGACTGAATTTATTGAACTTCTTCCTGAGAGGAAGGTGATGATGAATGCCACCTGCAGGCTTCAGTGGATGCTGTCTTGCTAAGGAGAAATGGTGATGTCTTCTTTCCTGTAGCATTTAGTCAATAACTATTCCTTATGCAGCATGAGAGCACTTTCATGTGTGAAGTAGCCTGATTTTGTCCAAGAAGAATCAGTAAGTAGTTAAGAACTAAATATAGAGAACTTAAGGTTTTATTCAAACTTCATTTATACCTTGTAAGAATACCATGAAACCTTTACACTGGATTAATTTGTTTATTTTCCTGATATTTCCTTTTTTAGTACAGGAAAAATCAATTTTGTACTATTCTATGGAAAATAAAATTCAAGACATAAAACGCACCAAAGTCTAACTCCTCATTACAAAAAGTAGCCTATAAAGAGAGTTAATGTTTGATTATGTTTAGAAAATGTAAAATGTATTTAATGAGATTGACATGTGGGAAAACACTTGATTGATTACTTTTTAAACTTGGATAAGGGGGAAGAGTGATGCTGGCTGTGTGAGACACATCCTTTTTGATTTACATGTCAATTAAAAATTAAGAATGCTTACTACAAGATGCTAGTGCTGGTGTTAATTAATCATATGGCTTAGCTTTTTCTCCCAAATATAAGTGCATTTCATAGTCAGGCAAATTAAAGACAGGAGTTTTGAATGCGATTATCAATTTTGAACTTCAGTTTCTGTAGTATAATAATGACCTTACAGCTGTTTATACACACTGACTGCAGGCATACATAACCTTTCCTCATTATTTGCCTTGTCTCTTCAGTGTGGTCTGTTCTAGTAATTCAAACCCAAATACTTTATTACCTCACTTCCAGAAAGCAGGATACAAATAAGTAAGTGCAGTCGACACAGCTCCATCTGCTTAGTGCTACATCATCCTTGGGGTAAGGGGAGGCTCTGGGTCCACCAGCACAGTGTTTCCCAAAGAACATTTCCCTCTGACCCTCTTTTAGGCAGCTCTGCCGTCTGGTCCTTGTGTCACCTAGCAAACGCAGTCAGGGACTGTGAGTGGAAGCATGCGCTTTCCTTTTCTTGCCCTGTATTTTTTCAATGTTCAAGTGAGGTAAAAAAATTACAAACTTTAAGATTTAAAGTCTTATTTTCCTATATTTTTATAAAAACTTTTAAGTTAATTTTAGTCTGCCTGAAGATTTGTTAAATTTTGTATTTATGGAGTCCTGGGAAAACTAATTTTTCATCTGTTCTGAGCTCACAGGTTTGGGAGCCTTCAGGTGCCATGCTAATAGTGTCATTTTAATCTTTGGAGTGATTTTTGCAATAGATGCTCATTCAAAAGGTTTTTGAAACAGTTCTGTTGCCTGATTTTTTTATTATTTTTCTCTGTCTGACAGAAAAGATCGTTTGCACCTTCAACTCCACTGACTGGAAGGAGATACCTACGAGAAAAGGAAGCTGTCATCACTCCTGTTGCTTCAGCAACACAAAGCGTGAGCCGGCTGCAGAATATCGTGGCTGGATTGAAAAACGCCCCAAGTGAACAACTTCTGGCTATTTTTGAGTAAGTACGTTCACTGCAGCTGCTCTCATACAAACAGAAACTTGTCTTTTCATGCTTGTGACTGCTTTCGTGCTCGAATTTGACTTTTTTTGTTTGGCACAGAATATTTTTCTCTGTGTTTCTACGTTATTTCTAGTTGAAAGATCTGTTTGGTAGGTGATCTCAGCTTCTGGAGAAGGACAGCTGCACACACACACTTCCCCGTCCAACTTGTGACCGTTGTTGTATTAACGTAGCTTCATTTTTTCGCTAGTGTTAATTTAGCTGTTTGTCTGCTTGAAAGCCAAAAACTGTCTTTTTCTTTTTTCTTTTTTTTTCTTTTTTTTTTTTTTTTTTTAATTTTGTACAAGTATGGCTCAAAAGATAGGGTAACTATGTTGGCAGAACTTTTGGGGGAAGAGGGAAATGTTAGAGTTGAAAAGCTATAATCTTTGCCTTAAAGAGCTGGAAAGATAAGTCTAAAAGCAGCCTAAAGGCTCCCTGTTTCTCCTTCATACTACTTCAGGGTATCTTAATCTAACTTTATTTTATATATTTATATATAAGTGCCTAGCAGTGACCTTAATTATTGTTGCTGCTGATCTCTTGTATAGCAGCAGCCATGTTTTCCAGTTCTCTAGTTGTTCTGGTGGCTGTTCCCTGAGCGTGCTTCAGCTTAACCATTTCCTCCCTGAGCCACGATGTCTGTCCTGGGTTGGGCATCCCAGCAGGAGCTAGAGTATTCCTAGTCACCAGCCCCTCGCTCAGACCTTAGAGCTGCTCTGTGGTACTGGGGCATCACAGTAGGTGACTACTGAACACAACCCCAGGCTTTCACAATCACCATTTCTAAGACAGAGTCCCAGTTATATAAATCAACGTATATTTTTGGCTCCTGGATGCATGGCTGCATGCTGGCTGTAGTGACATACAAGTGGTGGTGCACAAGCAGATGAGTATAAACAAAATAGTTTATTAGTAAAAAGTAGATCAGTGATGCTTCATAGCCCATAAAAAGCGGTAATTTAATAGTAAATACCTGTAAAGCTGTTGAGTGTTTGCCTAACATCCACGCCAATTAAGGTCTTGCTGTATTACTGTGTAAGATTGCCAGATCTTTTTTTATTAATGAGAATGGACATTTAGTATTAGCACGTAATATTTGAAGTGCAAAAATAATGTTTTTTTAAAGCAGCCTTCATAAATAGGTGAAAAATATTACTTTTGCTTCTCATCTTTGGAGTAATGTTTGAAAGTTTTCCTAGAACTTGTTCTTGGAAGGTTACAAATGCTCAGCAAGATGCATTTCTCTTTCGAATATTTCTTTGATTGATTTTTCTTTTTTTTCTTTTTTTTTTTTAAGGACTGTTTGATATTATTTGTATTACACAATTAAAACATTAATGTGTCTGCAATCTCTAATGAAAAATGTGTTTGTTCAAGTAATAAACCCAGTCTGTCCAGAGAGATGTACGTATTAAAACAGGGAAAAGGATTGAGTAAACCTCTGGCAAGAAATGTGTTGAGTACTTTACTCAATCTTAGGTATGAGTTCAGCAAGCACTAGGGTGTGAACTGCCTGATTAGGAGAAATGGAGAGGACTGTGGTTTGCACTATGTGTAATATTCTATGCTTTTTAATATTTTCTCTTTCAAATGAAAATTCCCTGGAAACTTAACTTTGGAGTTAATTAGAAGGCTGTTCAATGAAATCTTCGTTTATTTCAGTGCTAGCTTTTTGAAATAGCTTAGTGTCTTAATGTGACACCAGTCACTGTCCTCTAATACAGAATTGCTGGAAAATCTGGAAACATTCAGAAACAGCATCTCCAGACAGATTCCCTGTCCCCTTTTATTGGTAGTGACTGTGTGGAGTTCATCAGTCCCTCTCTGCCTTGCAAGTAAAGAAGACATTTTTGGAAAGCTGCTGACCATGCACTTGGAAAGCTTTCCTGTACTCTCAAACCGGGCATGGTTTGTGGTCTTGTGGATGCGTTGGGTTTTTTGGTTCCCCATTGTAGTCTCCTTCCTACTACCTTGCTCCAAACAGATATATTTTCCTGTTGAGTGTGCTACTGTAGCTCTTGCTTTCTCCTGTGTTTGTCACAAGTCTGCATAGCCTCTCTTAACTCCGTTAGGAAAGGAAAAAGGGAAACAAGATTTCTGTATCTTTTATGTCTTCCTCTCTTCTCTACGGTAATACAGGTTATTGCCTGATGAGGAAAGCTCAGGCTTCTCATCTTATTATTTGGGTAGGGGTTTTCTTTTTGGTTTTTGAGGGCTTTTTTAAACTGGGTATTTATTTATCCAAACACCACTTTCTGTTTGTGTTCTCCTTCAGGTCTTGTGCACGCAGCCCTATGGAAAGCATTGTGAATAGAGTGAAAGAAATCGGTGAGACCTTCTGTCGCAGCTACACTCAGTCAACAGATGAACAGCCAGGATCTCATATAGGTGTGGACATGAAATATTAAACCTGGGCAAATGACATGCATACATATACTGTTGTCTAAGTACTGAATACATTGGAGCTGTTTTTAACCTAGAACATATCCAAACAGAAAACTGTTGCTGTCAAACAGAACACTGTAAAAAATAAAACTTTGTTAGAGTTCAAAATGGGGTAACAAAGAGAGCATTGAAACTGTAGCATCTGTTAACAAAAATTGTAAACCTGCATTCTTCTTAGATTTAAAATTTCAAGGAAATTGAATACAAATAGGAAAATTATTATTGCAACTGTCTGCAAAATTACATCTCTAAAAATATTAAAATACATAATCCTTTAAAACACTTCTAGAATTTTGTGCTGTTCTTGTGACTAGTGGATTTCTGAACATACTTTTTTGATTTGCAGAGTCTGTACACACACACACACACACATACACACAGATGTGTATGCACGCTGTTTTCTTAGAGAAGGACAAGTACTGGTCAATTTAGTCTAAGGCCATTTGTGCAAACAGCATTGGGCTTCATCTCTGTTGGTTTTAAATTTCAGATTTTGCTGTAAACAGATTAAAGCTGGCAGAGATCTTGTACTATAAAATCTTGGAGACTGTAATGGTGCAAGAAATACGAAGACTGCATGGGAAGGATCTGACTGTAAGTAAAGAATTGGCAAAAGAAGAGAACACTTTTTGTAACCCTCTCTAGCAGGTTATCTTCAGACAGGTCCAGAACAGAGCAGTCTGCAGTCAAGCAGTCTGTGTATTTTGTTAATACTGAAAAAGGGGAAATATATGGGAGATGTCTAAATGTAGGAGTTTTTACTGCTGTTAAAAATGGTATCATTGTGGCATAACTACCTCTCTTAATTTGTGTTGCCTTTTAGAATCACGACTTTGTGGACAGATAACTCTTATTCTCTTCTTTATCCAATTAACAACACCAGTTCTTCATGTTAGACAGCAGCAGTGCATTTGCTCTGCTTTGTGATTCACAATAAAGAGACCAATGCATTTGACCATAGTAGGAAAAATGTCTTGGTTTTGGCACTGTTGGTCTAGTCTTTACCATTCTAAACTTCCCTGTAAAAAGAGAAGATTGTGGAAGGTAGGAGAAAGCAGTAGCTCTTGTCTCCAGCAGTAAGCTGTGTCATCTTAGTGCCACAAAATGAAAACGTCTGTTTCCCAGACCTCAGGTGACTGGTATTTTCTGTAATCCTTCAGGCTGTCTTGGAACAAGATGTCTTTCACCGCTCTCTCATGGCATGCTGCTTGGAGATCGTGCTTTTTGCATATAGCTCACCTCGTACCTTTCCCTGGATCATTGAAGTCCTTGACCTCAGGCCATTCTATTTCTATAAGGTAATACTGTCCTAGGGCTGGGTCTGTATTGAAAGTTACATGTTATTGGGTTGACGGTCTTGAGAGCATGATGTTCTTCCTTCCTCGGTACTCACACAGGAGAAGGACTGATGTTAATGTGCAATATGCCTATTCTAAATTCTGGTTGTCCTTAAATATATTATGTGGAATGTGTAATGCTGGAGGTGAAGCTGAAATTTAAAGCAAGAAAACAATTTTGTAAATGTTACTGAACTGTAACGTGCTGTTGATCTACTTGCGGTTCTTAATATAGGTTCACTTTTATTAGACTAAAGCATTCAAGCATATGTTTTGATGTTATTCATATTTATTTTCTGCAAGCTATAGTTCTGCTTATTAGTGATAAAATAGCAGTAATATTTTTTTTGTTGCCTTTGGCTACTACTACTTATCACAGACTTGCTCTGTTAAATTTTATTTTCTTTTCTGTTTTGCTTTATATAACAGAACATAAAATATCTTTTCTTGGGTGTTCTATATTTTTACACTTGGGTTTTTTTTTTGTTTGTTTGTTTGTTGTTGTTTTTTTTGTTGTTATCCTTACTCCTTCCTGCCTCCAATGTCATTTCTGTCCTTTGACTTGTTTGGTCCTTTTATCATCTACCCGTACGCCTCTTATTTTTACTAGATACCTAACAGCTCACTGCAGGTAGTCCTGAGTAAGGCAGAAGTAGTTCTGTTTAGGCAATAACAACAAAAAAAAATTGAATGCTTTGGGAAAGCTGTTTTCTAGTCTGTTCTCATTCTTCTTCCTTTAATCCTCAGATGTTGTGAAACGGAAACAAATCTGTCAATATTGCTGTGGCTGTTGGTAGCCTGCATCAATACCAGATGCACTGGTGCAGATCCAACTCTGTGGAACACATTTATGTTTGATTTGCATTTCCTTTGCTATTCAGTGTACGTTCTTGTGGCACTTGCACTTGAAAAGAAGATTTCACACGAGAGAGACGGTGTTTGTTTATTTGACTTGTGCCATTTGTAACTTTGTTCTTTGGGGGCTTAGTTTCTGTAGATTAGATAGGTAAACACATCAGTCAGTCCTCCAGGGAAGCTTTATGGCATTTTCATCTCTGGAGTTTTAGAAAAACAGGCTGAATGCTACTCTGTCAGAAGTAACATAAAGTGGATCTTGTGGTGGCTTGCAGGGGTGGAGCGTGATATTCCAAGGGCTCTTTTAGCTCTTTTCAACCCTGATTTGTACATGTTAAAGGTTATAAACTTTTCTTAAATGAAACTTTTTGTTTGGACCAATTGTTTGAAAGGAAAGAAAGCTTAAATGCTGGGGTTCTCGTGTACCCACCCTAGGCAGATGTACCTGCGAGTATCTCCCTCGGTGTGCTGGATGAGCACTGTGTGTGCTTAGTGACACTGAGAGAGGACCTTGTACACCCTGGGAGTGGGTTGTTCTGCGTTGATGGGACGTCTGCTGTCCATTTCCAACTCCTGGATTGCCTTTAGGAGAGGGGGTTAAAAAGAGAGAAGGATCAGAAGAGAGTTGGGGAAGATTAAGATATGAGGAAGAGGCTGGAACATTCCACGTTGAAGAGGAGTTTTGAACGGATCCTGAAATGAATAATGATTTGATGGTGTTCAGCATGAGTGATATGACTTTGCTTTTGTGTGTGTCTTGCTACCATTAGGTCATTGAAGTACTGATTCGGTCTGAGGAAGGACTTTCCAGAGACATGGTGAAACACCTCAACAGCATCGAGGAGCAAATTCTTGAGAGTCTGGCCTGGACTCGGGACTCAGCACTCTGGAGTGCCCTACAGGCCTCAGAAAACAAGGTCCCAACCTGTGAAGAAGTATGTTGCCCATTTTCCTTGATTAGGAAATTCACATTCTTTTTCTTACTGTTGTTTTATACCGAAAACTGTTCAAATAAGACAATTTTTGCAGAAAAACTTATATTAATAGTTTGGCACAAAGAAGGGAAATCTGTTTGTTATCTTACACTGACATTTCTTATTTCTCAGGTAATATTTCCCAGTCATTTTGAAGCAAGCAATGGAGGAAGTGGGCTTGGGCATTTGCCTATGATGCCAATATCTCCTATAATTCATCCTCGAGTAAAAGAGGTTCGGACAGATCTTGGTGGGAGTTTGAGACGAGGTATGTTCAAGGTTTCTTATATGATTTGAATGTGCTGATTTGGAGGGAGGGGATTTCAGCTTTTTATAATTGCAAAAAGCAATCTTGAATCAAAATTAAGCATTCAGAATGGTGAAGCCTCTTATTTCATCAAGAGAAAGTCTAGATGTATCTGGTCAATCCACTGCTGTGTCTTACTGGCAGCAGACATTGGTGATATTGCTTCGCTTCCGAACTGGAGCAGGTTTTGCTGCTGTTTTGATGCAAGTGTTACCTTACCCTTGGATGGGTTGTCGTCTGATGGCTTGTTGTCCTTTGCTGTTCAGATTTTTCCAGTTTGTTTGTTGTTCTCAGTGAGACTGACTGAATTTTAGGTGACCTTTTTTAAAGTATAACCTCCTTTTTGCAGTTTCCAGCATCTTTGATAGCTCTTACTACTGTTGCATTTACATTATTGTTTTTTTCCTTCAGCCCCCAGTCTCCCTGTCGCTGTTTTTTTTTCTCCCTACGTGCAGTGATGGTTGTCACTGTCACCACTGCTTTATGCAGTGACAGAGCTGCATTTATTCCTCCTTCCTACAGAACTTTTTTTTGCAGGAGGGGAGGACAATACTTTGCAGTATTCTTTCGTCAGAAGAGCTGTCTTGCTCTTTGCCAGTTCCCAGGTGTCACACAAGTGTCTCTGGACCATGAGGGTGTTGCTGTTGCTTTTTCATACCTCCCTGGTTAGGCATTGCTGCTTTCCTTGTATCCCAGACAATGGTCCATAAGTTCTTGCTGGTGCACTGTGGACTGCTTGGTGTTGTGTTGATGTGTCTCCCTTTGTGTTTGTCTGCCAAATTGCATTACAAGACTTTTTTGGTAGTTTGTTTTTTTTTTTAAATACTCACTAAGAAAGAGATGTATCAGCAGTTACTGTAGGTGTTGTGGTTGGTTGTTTGATGGAAGGGAAATTAAGTTGGAGATGGTGGGTTATATATGGGTTAGGACTGTGTGAAACATTGTCTTGTATATGAGAATCTGGTAACAAACACTCCTAATTTCAAATGGAAAATGTTGGGGATTGGAAATGTTCAGCGTGTCCAGCAGGTCGAGGGAGGTGATTCTGCCCCTCTACTCCACTGTTGTGAGGCCCCACCTGCAATACTGCATCCAGTTCTGGAGCCCCCAACGTAAGAAAGACATGGACCAGTTAGAACAAGTCCAGAGGAGGCCACAAGGATGATGCGAGGGCTGGAGCAGCTCTGCTGTGAGGACAGGCTGAGAGAGTTGGGGCTGTTCAGCCTGGAGAAGAGAAGGCTCCAGGGAGACCTTCCAGTGGCCTCCCAGTACCTGAAGGGCCTACATGAAAGCTGGGGAGGGACTTTTCATAAGGGCAGTTAATGACAAAACAAGGGGAAATGGGTTTAAGCTGAAAGAGGGGAGGTTTAGATTAGATATTAGGAAGAAGTTTTTCACTGTGAGGGTGGTGAGACAGTGTCCCAGGTTGCCCAAGGAAGTTGTGGCTGCTCCTCCCTGGAAGTGTTGAAGGCCAGGCTGGATGAGGCTTTGAGCAACCTGGTCTAGTGGAAGGTGTCCCTGCTGATGGCAGGGGGATTGAACTAGATGATCTTTAAGGTCCCTTCCAATCCAAACCATTCTATGATTTGCCTCTGTTACCAGGAAAACCATTCTCGTCACAGTTAGAAGTAGGGTCTCCAATCAGTCTTACCTGACCAGTTAACCAGAAGGTTTCTGCTTCATGGGAAATAGGAAACTGCTGTCACTGGTATCCTCACAAGTGGCTAAAGACTTCAGCAGAAATGCCAAAAGCCAGAGGAACAGAAATGAGTGTTGTGTACTTCAGTCTTACTACTGCAGGAAGTGTTTGAGGCAATAGAAAAGCCTGAGAGGACCTGGGAGTGCATGAGGGTGGAGGCTTCTGACTGGGATTAGTTTAGAGAGAGTTTAAAGGCCAGAACATAGAGATGACACCATATCCAGGGAGTGTGGTCTGTGTTCCTGGAGAGGAATGTGGTCAGAGGAATAGCACTTGCAAATATTACTAATTTGCTAAGCAGTAAGTACCTGTAATCCCGTGTGTTCCTGTGTCTCTGCACATTGGCTTGGTTACTCTTGTCTTCCATGTGCTACCTGATGGTGAAACAGCTCTCTGGGATGACTACAAAATAAAAGGAGACAGTTAAAGGACTGTAGGTCTTGTTCATATCGCCTAGGAACAGTGAACTGTGAGATTATTCTTACCTAGAAGTGTACTCTCCTTTTGTAGGTTGAAAGTTAGCCTCTTCCCCTCCTGTGGGGAATTATTCCTATTAAGATGCTTCTCTTCTAAGGTTGGTTTTGGTTTGTTTGTTTTTTTTTTCCCTCCTTTGCACACTAGACATGCAGCCACTGTCACCAATCTCTGTTCATGAGCGCTACAGTTCTCCTACAGCTGGAAGTGCTAAGAGAAGGCTCTTTGGAGATGACAACCCCAAAGAAATGCAGATGGAAAAAATTTTAACTGAAGGAACTAAGTTGACAATTGCTCCAGCGTCAAGTATTGTGGCTGAAAATGTGTCGGTTTCTCCTGGCCAAACAGTGCTGACTGTGACAACAGCTACAGTACCGGGAAAATCGGGACAGAAAGTTACTATTCCACTGCATGGTATGAATTCTTCCTGTTTTTCTTCTCTACTAGATGTTTTGCTTGCTCTTAAGATCTGTTTAGACCAACCATGCATCTTGGAGGTGTCACTTGTTCTTTTTTTTAAAGAACATATATCACTTTATTATTAAAAAAAAAAAAGCTTAAGTTTATACTGACATCTCCTTCCATGGAGACATCTGATATCTGACAAACATCCTGAGGATTCCTTCTTCTGAACACAGCTGTGGGGTTCTTGCCTCTTCCAGTTACACCTCACCACAGATTAAGTAATGCTTTGGTTCTCAGCTCCAGTAATGATTTACTACTGTTTGTCTGGACTTTGGTCTGTTATAATCTTAAAAGGCTCTGGGACTTCTGGATAAGCACTACGTATTAACACTACCGAAGTAATGGGGGATTTTTGTTTGCTGAAGTTGAGTGATGCTTTAATATTTCTGAAAATACATGAGAAATGAGTTTTTTAGCCTTTTTCAATTTAAAAACTGGATCTGTAGGTAAAGATGAGAATTAAAATACCCAGTTTCACGTTTAAGGAGACTTTCAGCAAGAGAATTTGACTGCCAAGGAAACTAATGAGGACTATCTACAATGTCCCCATTAAGGAAAATCAAAAGGATTGATTCAAAATTCTCATTCTCACTGATTGATTCAATCACTTCTCATTCTCAAAAGGAGAATGATTCAAAATTCTCATTCTCAAAAGGAAAGGGAATGCCCACCTCCCCCAAAAGTGTGGAACCCTGTCTACAGAAGTTGTGTTTTCTTGTAAACTTTGTACTTTCAGATAGTCTTAGAAATGATAATTCACATTCATGTTCTTCCTTTAAGTATTACCAGAAATGTAATTTTTAATCATTTCTGAAGACTCTGAGGAACAAAGAGTCTTTTTAGCATCGAGTGCAGAAGGATGAGATATCTTTAGTATGAAATGCTTGTGAATTAATTTAGAATTTGCAATTTTAACTCTGCAGCATGAGGAGAGCAAATGTTTTATTTCTGGATGTGTGTGTCATCTCCAGGTATTGCAAATGAAATGGGTGGGATCACACTGATACCCATTTCGATGAATTTAGGTCAGCCATGTAAAGTGGAGGCTCAGTCTCCCTGCCACCCTCAAGTGAATCAAGCACAGGAGGTGCCTCTGTCATCAGCAAGCAGACCAAAGAGAACGGGGTCCTTGGCACTGTTTTACAGAAAGGTAAGTGTTGTTATTAGGAAGTCATGCTTTACTTCTGTCTGTGGCCACGCTGAACCTTCCCTCCTTGTGCAGTTTTCATTACCTTTCAGTCTTCACGTACCTTTCCTTTGGCATGAGCAGTTCCTGTATACCCGAGAGGAGAATGGAAAAGATGCTGTCAAGTGCTGCAGAGAATCCATTTCTCTCCCTTCCCCTCCCCATGAGATGTTTCATGGGTTTTTGTCCTTTTAATTAGCAGCTTCTGTAAATAACTGCCTAAGAAATATTGGTAGTTTTTACTTCCCTTGTCTCTTTTTGCTGCCTCCCACATTTGCAAGGGTTAGACATATCAGAAATGAGATTATTCTCCTGTGTGTTCCTCATTCAAAACCACACTGTTCCGGGTCCTTCATCTGGAGATTCTCATTTGCAGTTTTCTGAGTAGTGCTGACCTTGCTGGTGTGGGACCTCAGAAAGCAGTGATGAGTAACATACTATCTAAAAGTTTCTAGAAAGAAGAAACTTCTTGAAATAATGATGTATTTAAGAGATAAATTAAGAACTGGATGTGCTTCAGAGAAACTTCAGGTTACTTGTTTCTAGCTGCTTTCATTTCCAGTGTGGAGTGTGTGAGTGGTCTTTGGAGGAGGCAGGGCTAATTTGCCTAAATGACTGCAAAGAATACATGCCTAAATTAGTCTCTCAACAATATTAGAAGATTTTTTTGGCTATTATTTTCTTACCAGAGAAGTTATTTTCAGAGGCTTTCCCCGTTTTAGAGGATCTGTATTGTAAACCTAGGGAATGCTACATTGAACAATCTTTAAGGTAAATCTTAATACAGAAACTAATTCCTGGAAACACTTGTGAGCCACCTCCTGTGTCTGAACTATTGGTTCTTTAATTCTGATAGTGCCAGCCTGTCTGTCGCTCTGAGAATGGATTAAGAATTGATTGGCCAGCTTCCAGGCGTGAAGTCAGACTGCATTTTGGAAGCTTTACTCTCAGCTGGGGAATGCTTCAGCTGTAGCCATGTATTTGAGAAACCATGTGGTAGGCAGTTGGCAATGTATCCCTCTTAGTTATGAAGGAGAACTAAAATCTTCACTTAAATTTGTCTTTAAATTTTGACCTTGTATTTACAGTGATCATTGTATTCAAAATGATAGTTTTTCCCTACTTTCCTTTCATGTTCCTGTGCAGTAGAGTGAGTGAAATTGAAATGAACTCTCTGCTTTCCAGCATAAGGAATGTGCCTAATTACTATCCATGAAGTGAGAACTTCTGAAATAAATGGAAGGAGGCTAATGTTGCACTTGATGGTTATTTCCAGTTTTGAGACAGATTTTTGGTAATCAGAGAGAAAAAAAAATAATTGTCTTGCTAATCTAAGATTATACTTAATCATAGTTAAATATGTCCCTTCTTTGTGCTTGGTGGAAGTGCTCCATTATAGTGGGTAACTGGTATGGTGTGGAAGTTACAATGTTTTTAGGCAGATTTCCTATAAGCATTAGAGATCCAACATCTGAACAGAGTTGACAACTCAGTCTTTGAAGACATTGTCTTGGGCAGAGGGGGTAAATTGTGCAGAAATGAACTACGCAAGTACAGAATAGCTCTACTTTCAGGACTCTTGCAGACTAGGTTAAGCTTGTTTGCCTTGGCTCTTACTAGGTGTCTTTTTCTTCCAGGTTTATCATCTGGCAAGTGTGCGCTTGCGTGATCTGTGCTTAAAGTTGGATGTTTCCAATGACTTGCGCAGGAAGATATGGACATGCTTTGAATTCACATTGGTTCATTGTGCTGATCTAATGAAGGACAGGCATTTGGACCAGCTCCTCCTCTGTGCCTTTTATATCATGGCAAAGGTAATGTGTAATTTTAATAATTTCAGGGAATTTTATGTCAATTGAAAATGTAAATTGTGTTCACAGTTTACAATTTGATTGCTTTATTCATGTCATATTACTGGAGAGAGGGGAAAAGTCCTTCCAAGAAGTGCATGAAGTCCCAGTATATTTTTTCCTTGTTTTGCATAATCTTAAAAGTTCCCATCAACCAGCCATTTAGTTAAGAGAGGATTTTTCTTCTCCTCCTGAGCTCATTTTCAGTCAGCACTGGTCAGCATAGACAAAGTAGTGTGTGTGGTCTCATTGCCCATATTTCTGTTTTCTGTCCTTTTTGTCATCTTCACAATCTACGTAACCTGAACTAAAACCACGGCTACAGTTACAGACTTGTGCAGATGTAAAAGTTCACAGGAACTCACAACTTTATCTATGGATGGAACAAAACTCCTCTGAGCTTTGGATGAGTCAGGTTGAGGAATTGAGCTGGTTGCCTGTTACTCGTACTTATTTAATTTGCCAGCATCGATTTTAGGTGTTAGCAAGTTGGATTATGAAACTGGAATATTAGTTTGACTCAAACTTGAGAGCTAATTGTTACAGTGGCCATCAACTCTGATTCAGACACAAATTCTGGAAAGTGAAACTAAGACCAGGCTCCTCTAAAACGCTGGGCGTGGGTCACTGATGGGTTGTTGCTCATCTGCTATTAAAATGACAGATGCATGAAAAACAAAGTCCTTTAACAAATGAGCTATTTTGAAGTATGAAAAAAAACTGAAATTACATGTGTGTATAGACCTGCCTAGTGTATTTTGCTCAGGTTTTCCTCACTTTCCGTTTAGAAAAGTCAGGAGGTCCAGTTTTCAAATTTACAAATACATTTTTGACTTAATATTTCCTCTCTTTAATTTTTAGTGTCACTAGAAGAAAAGTGAAAGGAATAATTCCTAAGCATCTTATGCAACACCAGGCTTTAGTGGCTAAAAACAAGGAATGCCTGAATAAGAAAAATGCTTGTTTTTTCATATTCTCATCACCAGACCTAAGTTATTAAATTATGTATTCATAGTAATACTCACAAAAAGTGCTGTATAGCGGGAAGCTATTGAATAGACTGGACCTGAGCGGCCCAACTTTGCTGCTTGCACTTGGTCTTCAATAGCCTTTTCTTTTCTAGGTAACCAAAGAGGAAAGAACTTTTCAGGACATAATGAAAAGTTACAGAAATCAGCCACAAGCAAACAGCCATGTAAGTAAATAGTATTGCCTTTCCTTTTATAAATCTCAGCTAGAGGTGGCTTATCAGATGTTGATGCTGATAAGGGAAAAGTCAAATCCTCTTCAGTGTTTCATTCATTCTTATTCAGATGGATTTCACACAGTCTTCAGACTTCCTTGTTTTCCCTGACGAGAATGTTTTTCCCCTGGTGTCCTGTAGGTTTATAGGAGTGTCTTGTTGAGAAATATTTCTGCTGATGTACTGTTGGACAAAAATGCAAACCAAGATGTGGAGATGACAGAAGGTAGGTACGGCAAAATAATCTGCTGGTTTTAAAAATGTACTTGGGGGCTCCTAAAGAACTGAACTGTCAATCAATCATAGAATGGTTTGGGTTGGAAGGGACCTTTAAAGATCATCTGGTCCAACCCCTGTAAGGAGAAGTGAAGCAAGTTTTACAGTTTTGAATGTATGAAAGAAAAATAAATGTATTATTGAAAAAGAAACCATCTTGTCAGTAGCCCTCTTGTGTGTTATTTATAGAAAATACACTTCCTAGTTGGAAAAAAAAAAAAAAAAATTGTTTCCTTAATTTTGGTTGCCTGAGGTTGAAGTGTTTCCTTAGTGTGTGGTGTTGTAGTTCTTCTTGGACAGCAACACTGGTTAACAAAGATCAGCAGTACCTGGAATATTATGACAGGTTTTTTTCTGAATATCACCTATCCTGAAGGCTTAAATAGGGAGAACTTGTTTCTGAAAATAAAAATGGTGACTCTAAGACCACCATTTTATTATATTCAGGTTTCTTTTAAATAGATTATATTTTCTTTGCTCTGGTTTAGAAGAGAAAAGAGATAAGAGTAGTATTTGAGAAAAGCACGAACATTGTGCCTTGCCTGTTTTTAGTGGTATGTCAGGAAACTGAGAGATCACAAGCCCATGTATGAACCCATGAGCCAAGCAGATCTGCAGCCAGGGCACATGCAGGAACTCAGAAGACTGTTCCATGTAGTGAATTCCCACTGTGGGGGGGATTCAGCTGCTTCAACAAGTATTAGAGCCATTTTTTACATGGATTTTGAGGATTCCCCTGGGGTCCAGGAAAGTGCTGATCTCTTGTAGATTCAGCATCCTGTCCAGCAGCTCCACAGTTCTTGGATGTTGTAGAGCATCTGAGGTGGCACTCTGATGTTTTGTGAAACAATTGTACTTGGTTACAAGTTCTTCAGTTGCTTTTCCTGACAGACTTTTTCTTCAGTCAGTAGACTCATGTCTCCTTTATCTGGCATTAACTCCTGCTCTTGTGACAGCAGCTTACAGGGACGTACCCTTGTGTTGTGATGCCAGGCAGACACTGAGGAGTTACACTGATGGGTATCAGCTTAAGCTTTTGATGTTTGTCTCATAGTGCACTGGTTGCAAGAGGCTTTATTCCATGTTGCCCTGGTTTGCTTGGCAGTAAACAGTACAGAGGATGAAGCCTAGAAGGTTGGATTCAGTAGCGGTCTTGCTTCATTAGGGGAGAGAGATCATTAACAGAAATATACTTGCTATGTGGCTGCAGCTTTTTCCACTGAACAGCCATTTTGTGATATGCCTGGACAAACGGTGTCGTGGCTTCCTTGCCACATGGGTATGAAGCTATTCTTTGCCAGCTGATCACTAGAAACTTTCACAGAAAGTAAAAGCTGAGAGCTGTCAGACTGCTTAAAGCTTTGTTTGGAGAGCAACACATGGCTTTGGAGCACTCCCCAAAATAAGCATGGGAAAAGGGGTCAGTTGTGCTACAAGTTTTTGCTACAGCTATTTCAGGTTTGGAATAAAGATTTATGTTGGCCTCTTTAGCCATAATCCACTAGCCTGCTAGCAGCAATTTGTATCTCGTCCTAATGTTCATAAGCACCTGCAGCACACCCTGCTCCTCTGAAGCACACTTCTTTAATTTGTCTCATTAACTAGTGAATTTATGGATGAGTTCTTGTCAGTCGGATATTGTAAGTCTGAATCTGAAACACGCAGTTTGCTGATGCTGTGTTTCTGAAATCTGAAGCTCTCTCTTATTGTTAGAGTCATCCATGAAAACTGGCAGTTCCTCAGGGGGATCCGCAGCAGAGAACTCCAGTGAGTCAGGAACAGAGGAGAGAGGAGATCTCATTAAATTTTACAATGTCGTCTATGTAGGAAGAGTAAAATCATTTGCACTGAAGTACGATATCACAAACCAGGATCATGTAGTAAGTAAAGTGTTTTGGAATTTTGCTCTATCTAATACTCAGACACAGAGTTGTTTTTCCTGATAGTTAAATGTATGTCAATGATTTTGTTCTGTTATTCACCTGATGTGGTTATAGATGTCAAATAGTTGTAGGTGGTGTTACGAGGACTTGCTTTAACAGCCTTTCAAGAGGACTGCAGGTGCAGTTCAGTTTACAACCCCACATTCAGCTTCTTTATATTGATGCAACACCTGTTTGCTCAAATGCCTGTGGAGCATCTCAAAAATAAATTTGTCTGTTGTTTGGTGGATACTTTATCAGTTGTTTAACTGTTATGGGATAAAACCTTCTAAAGACCACCAGGAAGTGTATTGATCTTTCCTTCTGTGAAGTTATTGCTCTTAAATATCTCCTGGTACAGCTCCTATCCACATGTGTCCTCTTGCAGGTGGAGGCCCCTCCGTTGTCTCCGTTCCCGAACATTAAGCAGCAGCCGGTATCTCCTCGGCGGATCTCTCAGCAGCACTCCATTTACATTTCACCTCACAAGAACAGTGCCTGCCTGACACCTCGAAGTGCACTACTGTATAAATTTAATGGGAGCCCTTCCAAGGTAGAAAGCAAAAAGGTTGAAAGGGGTCAATTTGAGAGATTAATTAATCTCCTAATTAGGATGTCTTCTAATGTGGTGAAGTTTCAGTGAACTAGGCTCTCAGTGTGCAGTGAAGGGTAGAATACTTTATGGGGAATCCTTCACTCATTCACCAAAGAGGTTCAGAAAAACTTGTTGTTCTCAGATAACCGAAAACCAGAGCAAGTTTGAAATGGAGTTGTAATAACTCATGATTTTTTTTATCTTGATTGCAGAGTTTGAAGGACATCAACAGTATGATAAAACAAGGTGAACACAGGAGTAAGAAACGAGCGATAACAATTGATAGTGACACCGAATCCCCTACGAAGCGACTCTGCCAGGAAAATGATGACGTTCTACTTAAACGTCTCCAGGATGTTGTCAGTGAAAGAGCAAATCATTAAAACTGCCGGTTTTCTGTGGGATCTAAAAGCTGTGGAGTTGGATACAGCTGTTGTGTTATTTATTTCTTGCTTTTCTGTACAGACCACTGCCAAGTTTCTTTAACACTGAACTTCTGCCTAACTTCCACAGGATGCAAAAAGCAAGGGTTAAGAAGTAAATGCCAGAGAATGAGAGGTGGTGATGATCTTCATTGCCAAAGGCCACGCTGTGCTATGAGTTACTCTGTTTGAGCTGTTTTAGGAAAGGAGTGATCTGTAGAAAGCCATATTGGATGTTCTCCAGCCTCATGTAGAGCATTGGGAGTTCTGAGTGTAACTCAGCTTCTAGTAATGTTGGTTTTATTTTTGGAATTAGAATGATAAGGAAACGAGTGACGTCAGTTAAGTTTCCTCAAGCTTTTGTTATTTGGGGAAGAAACTTTAGAAGTGCCTTATTTTAAAAGAATGTGGAATTTTGTGCTTTATTTTACTGTGAAGTAACTGGAATGGAGAACAGATTGATCATTTAGCCTCAGGAAGAGCTGAGCAGTTTGAACTGTACGATTTGTGCTGCGCTTCATCTCCTGTCAGGACTCCAGTAAAAGTGTGTGTTCTGATGTGGATCAGACAGCTTTTGCAACAACAAAGACTATAATCAAAAAAAATACCAATAGCAGCGACTTCCCTTGGCCGCTGCCATCTGATAAAGCGCCGAGATCCGGTTCAGTGAGCCTGAATTACCCTTCCCTGGAGCCAGCAAATGCTGCCGCGGGGGCTGCGGAAGCCTGATAGCAGCCCTGCTCTAGAAGCTGTTGGTATGTCTTGCAGCCTGCCCGGTGACAGCTGAAAAACAGCTGGAGCATTGGCCGTCTGGCAGCTGTTCAGATGCACAAAGTCATTTAACAAACTGCATCTCTTCAATTTATTTTTTTTCCTGGAGACCTTGGCCTCTTGTGTAGTATCTACACTGAATGTAAGCCCATCAGATAAGGCATGTTTGTATATATGGGGGTTTTATAGCTATTCCAGGCTTGGATTCATTGGAAATGTGGAAATTCCAGCATCCAATACTTGTAACTTAGTTTTTAACGCTGAGGGATTTGGTAGGGTTTATTTTACCAGAATGGAGAAAAGTCAAAGTTTATTCATTGCTGTAAATCAGTAGCTTGATCTTACTTCATAATTGCATTTAAGATTAGAGCCATGGAGAAACTTCTCAGCACTGCATTTTTCAGTTTATGCGTATATTGAACTGAAAAAAAAAAAAATCAAAACGATTACACAGGACTTGTTTAAGCAGCTCTGTTCACTTCATTGTTTGGTTTGTTTAGTATGTGCTGCAAGATCTGCTGTGCCACCCTTCCAGGGAAGAATACTGCGATGGTTTCAAGCAGTCTCGGCTAATGAATTTGGCCAGCAATAATGGAGGAAAAATATATTTAAAAGTGTACATGTGCAGGGACGCTACTCAGCAGTGAGTAGAAAGTTTACAAACTCGGTAATTTGTTTTTGAAATATTAACTACTTAAATATTTGATTTATTTTTTCTTTTACTTTCCAAAAAAGGTGCTTATTTCTGAAAGGTTTGACTGTAGAGAGCTGGAGAATGAGGAAATCGCCACGCAGTGGACTAGGTTTCATGCAGATTATTCTCTTCAGTTCCTTTAATTTTATTCAATTTTTAATATTTATCTTCAGATCTTGAGATAGAAAGTAAGATAGAAAGAAACAACCTTTCTGTCTCGATCTGCTCACCAGTGCTGTTACAACTAACTGTTCAGTGTATGTACTCCTGTCCCTAAAAGCCTCTGGTGTTGTGGGAGAAATGGGGAATCTCGATCGAGCTTTCGGCAGCATGCGCTTTATTTGCGTGGAGAATTGCAGCCTTTCCGGGTGGGAAACCCACGGTCCAGCGTAACAGCGTCAGTCCTTCAGCAGGGTGAGGACAAGGGCAGCTGATCTGGTTTTAATTCCACATCATGTGCAGATGTCTCCTCGTGTACCTGCTCACCACACTGTTACTGTGTTCTCTGAGACTGCAGAAAACTGATGGTGCTAAAACCTTTACTAGTTGTCATTAAGCGTCGCGGTTTTTCATGGGAAAAATGAACGTTCTACAGCTGGGTGCAGTTCAGATTTTCTCACCTTTTTAGGTGACATAGGAAAATTATTTTTGGACTTGTTGAACAGCTGAGACAATGGCTTGTATGAAAATCTTGTAACGGTTTCAAAGTGCCTTCACGTGTAAATATGTATTTTATAATAAACAATTTAAAAGTATTTTTTCCTGTGGTAATTCATCAAACAGTGCCTTCTGTCTGCCTTTTCTGGAATGGCAAAGGCCTTCGTCATTGGCGTGGCCCTGCAGATGTGTTTGGGGTTTTTCAGTTTAAATTTGTCATCTTTCATGGGATCTGTCTGAAGTTTCCTCCTGAGGTTTCTGTGCTGTTTGCACTTCAGTCAGGTGCAGTTTCTGGGAGGAGAAGGTGAGTAATACATAACGTGAAGTAACTGAAAAGCACTGAAAAGGAGAAAATCCTGCAGTGACAGGTGACGTGCCCACAGAGGAAGGTGTGACTCCAGCATAGGTGGGGCTCTTAGGCTCGCCCTGGGCTCAGAGTTCTTGACCTCCCAGGGGTTTCTAGGGCTCATGACCCACACTGGTCCTGGCTGCCTTCCTCCCAGTTGTGCCAGTGTGTTCAGAACCAGCTTTGGACTGGTTCAGGTTGGTACCAGCTGGCTTCGTGCTGCTTCTCTCGCTACAGTTGAGCATAAAGCTGGCATGAACTTGGAGCTTTTTAAATAGCTCTTTGCATCTGCTCTAGGGGGAGAGGAAAAAAATGGGCTAATTTGTGCAGATTCAGTTGTGATAACTTCTTTGACACCAGAGCTTTCATTTTAAAAGACTGTTAAACAATAGTTACCAACCCAAAGCGGTGCTGAGGGCATAGCTGGGAAAATGGGGCTGGCTGATCTCTTTGTAAATGTTCTTTCGCAGGTAAGGCTGCCAGTGAGGGGAAAGTGTGGAGTGAAACGAGACTGTTGTACCCAAGCCCTGCAAACTGCATCCTCTCTGCCAGGCCAGTGGTTTCCCCCAGCCAGATGGATTTTCACTAATTCTCCAGCTGCAAATATTGCCTCCTTAACGCTGCTTTGTGTTGGGTTTGTGTGGGGGGCCGGGGGGACCTGGGATGGTTTTTTTGCTTGTTTTTTGTTTGGTTCTTTTTGTAATGGGGGAAGGGCCACCTTGTGAGAGTGAAAAGCTCCCCTGGCTCCAAGGCAGAGACCTCCCAGCCCAGGCTGGGCCAGTGAGCACCAGAGAAACGCCTCTGGGAATCCATATTGGTGAGGGGAAGGACTGTCCTGAAAAGTGGATGTGGTACCTGGAGGAGAGACCATTGACCTGAATGAAAGACCATCAGCCTAAACAAAGGACAGACAGACAGAGGGAGAGCTTCATTGCCATGGGAAAAGACAGAGACCCACACCCAATTCAACCACATGGAGTAAGAGAAGGCAAAGGAGGTCCCTGCAGCCCATGGAGATTCAACAGCAGAGCAGAGACCCACGTGTAGGCCATGGAGGGCTCCACGCTGGAGCAGAGAAGTTGAGCCTGAGCCAAGTGTGATGGAATTGGGACCTCGAGAGTCACTCAACACCAGAGTGGGGATGGACCCCCAGAGTGGGGGTGCAGCCCATGGATGTCCCCATGCCAGAGCCGGGAGCTGAACACGAAGAGGTACGTGGCTCCATGGGAAGTTTGCTTTGGAACATCTTGTTCCTTTACTTTCATGCTGGGAAGAGTGGCAATGGGGAACTGACTGAACCCCCATTCCCTGTCCTCTGTGCTGCTCTGGGAGAAGGGAGAGAAATGGGGAGCAAAGTGGAGCCCGGGAAGAAGGGAGGGGTGGGGGAAGGTGTTATAAGATGTGGTTGTTGTGTCTCACTGTCCTACTCGGATGAATGGCAATGAATTAAATTGATTTTCCTTCCCCAAGTTGAGTCTGTTTTGCCCGTGCCCATCACTGGTGAGTGAGCCCTCCCTGTCCTCATCCTAATCCTGTGTCCCCTCTGTTGTGTCTCCCATCCCATCTCAGCGGGTTGGGGGAGTGAGTTCAGGACCACATGGTCCCACTGTGCTTGAAGTAGATTCAGAGCTTCCATGTTTACTACTGGTCAGCTTTCCAGCGAGTCAAAGTTAAAAGGTTATTGATACCTCTGAGGACAATGCCATAAATCTGCTGGCACTTCACATCCAAGCAGTGTGGTAAGAGGTTGCCGCAGCCCAAGCGTGTACTAAGATGTGGCCTCAAGAAAATTTGTGGTTAGAGTGCAATTAAGAAGTGGGGATTGAAACTGATTTTCTATTTAGTTTCCTGTTAGGAAATACTCTTCTTATGTTCCTGTCCTGTGACTCATGGAGAGGTTTTCTGTTATTTGATACCTGAGTAACTGAAACTAGTGCCACAGAAGGAGGTTCTCTGGAGGAGCTGCAAGTGAGTAAGTGCTGGAATCTCAGATGAAAGAAGCTGAACGTGTCTGAATCTGTCTCAAGGCTAAGAAACTGAGTTTACTGTAGTCTCCAAAGTTTACAATAAGCATGTAACTCATTACCCAAGTAGCAGTTCTTGAAAAACACGTGTCAGAGGAATATGATTGTGATAGTTTAAAACAAGACACGGCCACTTGCACCCCCCCCTTCCCCAGCTAGGGAATCGGGGAGAGAATTGGAGGGTAAAGGTGAGGAGACTTGTGGGTTGAGATAAGAACAATTTAATAATTAGAGTAAAATAGTAATAACAATGATAACGACTATATATATCTATCTGAGTGATGCACAGTACAATTGCTCACCACCCGCTGATAACGATCCTGGAGGAGTGAAAGGAACCCCAAAACCGAAATCGCAATCCCAGAAAAGCGAGCCTGAGCGATTCCTGAGAGAATCCACCCCCTTTCTGGTCAGCCCCGGTTAATATATTCAACACAACATAAAATGCTATGGAATATCTCATTGGCACATCCAACTGTCAGTTCTGGGTTTTACTCACTACTACACTTTTCTTCTCCACTCCCCGCTTCCAGTCCTCTGCTCTTGGAAACTACCCAAGCTCAGTG